GGGATGGCTGCTGCTGGATCTCGGCAGCAGGCTCTGCACACCCCCCCACCCTGCGGCTATCAGTGTGTGCCAGGAGGAAAGGAGAGAGGACGGTCTGCTGATCGGGACTGCAGATACAGACTGGACCCTCTTCACCTCTGCAGATACAGACTGGACACCTCTTCACCTCCGACTACCAGTGTGCTACAGAAACTCCAGGGACAGACTCTGCACACCTTCTCACCCGTCAGCTGTCGAGCCCCCTGCCGAGCTGACTTTTTAATAAAGAGCTGAACATTACTGAAGGCATAGACCCTGTTCATTCCAGGAAGCAGGCGCTTTGCCAGGAGCCCAGGTTTGCAGGTAGCAGAGCATTTTACATATCTTCTCGCTGCAGCTGTCACAGTCCTGCTGGACACTGGGGCCAAATGCCACTTTGTCCCCAAATCACAGCCCTGCATGGAGATTTGAGGTTGTATGGGTCGAGGCAGGGACATCCAGGTGTTGTTAGCAGGAGGTTTCATAGTTGCTCTCCTCCTTTGCACCAAATAAATAGATCCTCATGGGGGTGTAATGCACCCTAGCACTTTAATCCTCCTGGGGATAAAGTGGATTTCAATGCTATTTGGCTAGCCACTGGGTGCAGAGCCAAACTGTTATAACAGGATTCAGATCCCTTCCCCAGAGCAGATTTGCTTGTTGCTTTAAAAACTAGCTGAAAGAGAGCTTGGACCCATAAACCATGTTTTGACCCTTTTAGAATATTAAGATTGAACCATTTTTTGTCCTTGTTTGATGATTTTTTTTTTTTTTTGTAATTCAACAATCTCCTTGAAGTCCTACAGAGGTGGAGATTGATGGTTTTTACAAGAGTAATGTAAACACAACTTTTTATTGTTTTAAAGAACAGTTTTCACACTCCCCAAAGAGTTAAAAATTGTGTGTAAAAAGCTAGTAACTCCTTGAATGAAGAAGATCTGTTTTACTAAGCCATATGCAGCATCTCATGAAGCATCAGCACCTGTCAGGAATGTGATTGCATTTCCGTCCCCTGCCATGTGAGGCTCCCTATAGGGACTGATGCTAAGGACTGAGGATACTCCCCCAGCTTCACCTTCTTTGCAGTTTGCAGTTCTGGGGAGAATTGTTATTGACAGGGGGCAAATGGACAGGAATTCACTGAGCCTCATCTCTGTGGGATCAGAAAACCCTGCCCATTTCTTCCATGCAAATGGAGAACCTTCAGACTTTCCCTGCATGCTGGGACCTGCAGCCAGCAGCATAAGTGCTGCTCCTTTATTTGGTGTGGCTTTGGAGGGAGCAGCCACTTGGATAGAGAGCTGTGTTGCCCAGCTGTGCCCCTCCAAGAGAAGATGTTATGTTGACCACATGCTTGAGAGAAGGCGGGTTACAAAGAAATAGATATAATATGATTGAGGACGAAGGTGACCTATAGAAGTGTGGTAAGTGGTTTTCTCTGCTTGGCAAGTGAATTTTGATCCCAGCATAGCACTGTGCTGTGAGACGCTGCTATGTCTGGGAAAGCTTTGTAGGAGGACAAAGAGCAGAAAGTGGCAAGAAGGACAAAGGCTCTGAAACAAACACCCCCTCCCATTCATACTCCTGCCAAAATGACAAAACAGAGGTGGACAGTTGCAAAATTGTCTTTCTTTCTTAGAGTCAGCCATGTCAGCCGGTTGAGTGCAGGGAAAATAGCAGCAGATCAATAGAGGTGTCTGTACTGACACTTTTACCATCTTGCCCTTTAAGAAACACAGAAATGTTCATCAGCCTTCCCAGTTAATGAGCCTTTCAGTGGGAAGAAATACATAGGTTGCTCTCTAAGTGTGTGCTTCTCTACCAACTCTGGTAGAGAACCTCCTAAAAGAAGATGCAAGTGAAGGCTCTGGTCATTGTCAGAGGTCCAGGCTGTGATGATGATGATGACATCATTCTGGCATAACTTTACAGGAGTGCCCCCTTGTTCTGGCTGTGAGTCTGAGACAGCAGAAGCTAGTGCAACCTTCCCTGGAGGATACCAGGTCTCCTCTGTCCTCTGCTGCTTACTGAGTGCTTTCTGTGATGCACATCTCTGACACACATACATGATCACTAGCCACAGATCCTCCTGTGTGGGCTGAATCCTACTACATCCCTGAGCACTCCCTAGGGTGGAAGGAGTGAAAATGGAGGTCCTGCAGCAATTGACTTTAATGAAGTTATATGTGCTGGCACTGATTGAAGACCTGGCCTGTGTGAAGGATGTCAATGTGCATAATAACACCAGAGTGTGATGCCTGTCATTTATCATTTGCACCAATCAGCCAGGAGTCCCCTTGCACCAGTACTGTGGAGATACAGAATGAAGTAATCCCTTTGCAAAGGGCTTATTATTTTGGAGTAAGCACAAACATTTAAGTCTTGAAGAAAAAGGAAAGAAACTACATTGCTTCCAGCCCTTGTTTCCTAGCAGGTTTGTATTCATCGACCGCAAACCTTAATACAGTTTTCACTCCATTTGTCAATTGTTAAGATAAATCTAGGGGCTGTCAACAAAATGTTGCAGTTGAAAAGACCCAGCTAGAAATAATAGACTAAGAAACATCAAAGTAGTCATAATACTGTAAACCACCACAGAACAATAAGTTTAGCCTTTTCACATTTCATGGTCCCTTAGATGCCTTTTGTGAGCAACAACAGCCTCCTTGTGCATCCTTGGGGGAGAAATAGGCACCCTGAGGAGCAGGTTCACCTGGCTTCACTCTGACACCAGGCTTTGGACAAGATGCCTTGCTTGCCTGGAGCCAGCAGGCTCCAGTTGGCCCACAGGCTGCTCTGGGTGAACAGCTGTTTGTGCCACGCTGGGCACAAAGGGACCTGATCCTCACATCTCCTCTGGATACTGCCACAAAGTCGTGATGCATTCCTTATGCAGCTGGAGGGAATCTGAACACCTGGGAAGCACATCAGAGCTAAAGCCCACCATATTTATGAGGCTGGTTGTGAGCTGGGTAACCTGGGAGCACCTGCACAGCATGTTTCACTCTACAGTCGGAGGGGTTTATCACAGCAGAGGGTTTCTCGTCAGCTTGTTCATCTGAACAGTGTCTCAACAGGCTGCTGTGGAGACACCTGTGTCTTTGGGTTCCCAGTGCAGCCTTATCAGGGGAGCAATTCCTACCCCGGTCAAAACAATTCTTACTGGGGCTTCACTGACACACCAGACCTCTTCCTAGAGGGTCCTGTTTGTTTCCAAGAGAATCTGCTTCCAATGCCTGCATTCAAATGCTGCCACAGCAGGACTGAGATTGTTCATCTTTCTGCTGGGCTTCTGGTCTGAGCAGTGAAGAGCTTGACCATGGGGGATTTTAGTAAAATGAAGTGCCTTATGTTTAACACAGCTGCAGCTCCTACCATAGCAAGCCTGCAACTCAGCAGAACCTGCAATGATAAACTTGGGACTAGTCTTAGGTGTGGAGCAATAGTCACCCCCCTGTGTGTTTATGGGACCTTATCAGACAGTTCCCCTGGCGCTGAAATTGTGTTGGGACCTGTTGTGCGTTGACAGCCTTTTTTCTGCTCACTTAAAAAAAATAATTAAAATTATAGATGAAAGTAGCAGGAGATGGTCACATAAAAGGGTTGAGCGCAGAAGAATTCACTTACAAAATTTCTCCATGCACTTAGGAATGCAGCTATTTCTTGTACTCATTCAGACAACCAGACGCTTTCAGTTAATGACAGGGCTGTGTGTTTTTAACTTGTCTTGCGAGCAGCGTGGTGCCGGGAGAGGCGAGCCTGCACCCAAGCGGTTCAGCCCCGGCGAGTGCCTGCCCCAGCCGGCAGTGCTCAGAGCACAGCCTTGCGGGAAAATCCTCCCGGAGCCGGCACCCTGCTACAGACAATCTCTTAATCTCTTCCTGCCTAAGCACAGCCTGAGATGGGGAGACGGGAAAGATGACTGTGGGAAACATGCCTTTTTTTTTTTTTTTTTTTTTTTTTTTTTTTTTTTGGTGAAGTGATGGTATTCTGAAAGGGATTTGCGCCATCAATGGACATCCCAGGGACCAGGAGCTCGGGAAAGATGCTTCCTGCAACCCCTCCAAGTACCTCACAAGCATGCTTGCAGACCAAAAATAAGTTGTCCTGAATTAAATTAATTTCAAAGCTTGCACCAGGATAACGGAGCTACCTGACGAGTCAGGTCAGCAAGGACTTCTCACAAAACAGAAGCCAGTTCATTAAAGTTGGTCATTCACTAGTGTGATAAAGTAATTAAAGTCTCCTGATTACTTTCTCCCCCTGCTGCTCCTTCTCTACTACAGACATGAAGGCTTTGGTAGAGATGGAGCTGTTGACACTTTGTCAGTGAAAATTCAGAACTGTGCAAGTAAAAGAAATGTTTTTTTTTTTTTGGGACTATAAATAGTTTTGCATTAAAGCAAATGTATTCTCCTTCCTAAAATAGATTCACCTTGCAAACAGCTTAAGGACAGTTTCAGCGCCAGAGGAATTCCTTCAACTCCCCCCAGGAGACAGAAGCAGCCGGTTTTCCGCTGAAAGAGCAAACGACAGCAGAGGAGATCCCTCTACTGCCACCCCCCTCTTCCTGTTCCCTACTGCCGGGCAGCATCCCTCTGTGCTGGGGTGTCAGCCTGGGAGACCACACAGCATCTTTCGACTAGAAAAGGATGTTAATTCATCCAGCTAACTTTTCCAATAATTTTTACTAAACGCTTGCCACATGCACGCTCATTATGTGGGCGAAATGGATGAGGAAACTTTGGGCAGGGGGAACCGCAACTTCCCACGATCGCTCGGAGCAGTGGGTTGCTTCTCCTTTGCTCCAAAGGGAATCATACATTCAGACAATGCAAACATCCTCTCTGCCAGGGCTGCAATGTGTTAACAGCACTCTCCCCTTGCTGCCAGACCATAATTTCATTCCCTATGGAGAATCACGGTGGTGGTGCTGGGGAAGACGAGGAGATGTTAGAAGAGAAAATATATTTTTAACTCACCTTGAGGCTGTGTGTTGGGTTGACGACGCAGACAAGTTGCCCGGCAGCTGAGAAAACCCTCTTTGCCTTGTAGTGCTGAAACCGCAGGTGAATAAGATCTAACACAGCCCCAAAGCACTGGGTGAAGAAAAGCATCACAACTTTTGGCGTTGCTGCTGCTGCTGCTGCTCCTGCTGCTGCTGCTGCTGCTGCTGCTGCTGCTGTGCTGCTGGCAGGGGAAGCAGCCGGGGAGCTCTGGAGTCCTTGAGCCCGGGGTGGGAGTGTAGTCGGCGAGAGCTGCTCTCCGGCACAGCTTAGCATGCCTTCATATTCATCATCAAAATAAGACGGGAAGAGGCTTGCAGCAGCGGGGCGGCCAATGGAAAGGACAGGAATGTTATCCTTGAGGTCCGGAGACAGCCAATAACAAATGCCTTCCCTCCAGAAACTCCCTGATGAATTGAGCCTGGTGGAGAATGTATTATTGAACATTACCATACATCAGCACATTGCATTTATCTTGTGATTACAGCCAGTCATACGTAAGGCTGTGGAGATATGCAGGCAAAACCGATTGCTTAACATCTCCATTTATTAATTGCCTTAATTTTACAAAGGAGTGCTCAGATAGCAAAGCTAAATGCAAGGCGCAGGGAAGAACCCCTCCAGTGAAACTGTTGGAAAGTAGCAAAAATAGGTTAAGCAGACTATATTTTATTGAGGGAGAAAAATCAAATATGCAAAGAGAGTTACAGATCCTTGCAGGGGTTAAGCAGAAGTAGAGCTTGCTACATAAATAGATTTTCGTCTGTGCATTCACAGGCTTCAATTTGGATTTTCATTGCTCTGAAGTTTTCTAAATTTTATATGCTGCTACTTCACAAGAGTCCCAGCACACAAATAACATTTTCTCCATCATTGAAAATAGGAGAGGTCAGGTCTCAGGTCTGGTGTAACTTGGAATAACTCCATTTAGAGACAGCAATGTTTTCCTGATTTACACTTGCTGGTGGATCAGGTCTGTTGGACACAAAACATGGTAATTACTGGATGCTGGAACTATGGGAGCATAAAAAAGCACAGAGCATGCTTCTAAAAATAATGAAATACGTGATGCATGAGAGCACACACACACACAGAGAAACTTGCACTGAGGGAAAAGTGGCTTTTAAATCAACAGAATAATTAAACATGCAGAAGGCTTTTCCTTGTCATTCATCTGCATATCAGTGAGCAGGAAATTACGAATTAACCATTAAATAGTCCTAGGCATTAAAAAGGAATTAGGGAAGTGCAACGAAAATAAACATGCTTTTAGGTATTATTACCAGTGCGTATCTCTGTTGGTGGGCAGGGATCCTTCTCGAGCCATTGCGTCTCATTAAACTTGAGTCCCTGTAACCGGTTTTTCTGGGAGGTGACTAAGCTGAAGCAGCTGGGGGAATCAGAAAGCACATTAATTTCATGGGACAATCCTGTGCGATATGTTCCTCTGCTTGTTAATAAATCAAAGAGAGTTAATTTAATTAGTTCTCTGCCAGAACTTCCTATCAGGGTACTATTTAGGCTTGCTAGCTAAATACTCAGATGGCTTATTTAGCCTGGGTAATCCTTTTCCCCTTCAAAGCAGAACAGAGGGAAGTAGGTTTTCTTTCATTCTTTTTTCTTCATTTTAAAAGTGAGCCCCATGCTGGGGGTGAAGCTGCTGCTGCGGCCAGAGCAGCCCCTGTACAGCACGGGAATTAGCCTGGGACTGTCTTGTCACAACTGCCTCTTCCTAAATCAATACCACAATCCTGCCTCTGCCAGACTGCAGAGAGGCTGTGCATGAAAAAAAATCTCAGTAGATAAATAAGTGAAAATGCTGGAACAGCTGATAACACAACCCCCAAGAAAATGTTAAGGATGGGAGGAATATGTATTCCTCAGTTCCTAACATTTGGTTGTAAATGAGAACAGGAGATAATTTTTTGCAATGCTGAGTGACACTTTGAGAATATTTTCAGACAGACTTAAGGACAAGTGAGTGAATCGATTTGCTTAAATGTATTCTTTCTCTATCTGTTCCCAAAGTAACTGTGAGCCTCCAGCAAGTTATTTGTTTTTTTTCCTGATTTGTAATTAGTAGCTGCACAAATCTTGATACCAGGAAATTTCAGTCTGCAAGTTACCAGTGCAAGTATTCTGCCATGAAAGCCATAAATGATCTAAAGGTCCTTGCTATTTGCACTGGTTATTACCACCTGAATCCCTGGAGATAATTTCTGTTTGACGATTGACTAAATGCCTAGACTTGGGAAGCACTACCATATCCATGGGCAGCAGAGATGGAAACCCCCCATCCCTGCAGTCCTGCTAACCTCAGGGCTCTGGCAATTCTGTGATCCTCTCCTCTTGAGACCCAGCTGCCTTCCAGGGCTGGCAGGAGAGGTATCCGTGACCCCACAGGTACACAGGATCATCTTCAACCTGAAAATGTGTCAGTACCTCTAGGCTGGTGTACAAAAAGGATTGCTGTTCTCCAAAACAAAGACCACATTCAAGGATGGGTGAAGGACCTTTGCAGTGCTGAAATCCCTGTGTGCCTCTGTGCCCATCATACTTACTACATGTGACCCCCTGAGGAGCATCTGTCTGCCACCAATATTTGTGGAGAAAGCTAAAAATGAGCATTCAGTGCATCTGAACGTAACTCATGCTCAGTACATGGGCTCACATTCATGGTGGCACATCTGGAAAATATTTTACTGCCTGTATGCTGTCGAGAGACTCACACACAGCACCTGCTTACTGCATTTCAACACAGGACTTTTAGCACCTGCTTGATGAGGGACTCTGCAGCCACCAAGACACGGCAGCTGGCTGTGCAAGCAACTTCACTTGCAAACAAAGGGTCAGCAACATCATCTGGCATGCAGGTGTGGATCCAGTTCTTTCTTCTGCTTTCACATACAGAGGGTCTGGACCAGCATAACTCCATTAATTTGAGGTCATGGTGGTCTCACCCAGATTTGGATATCCAAGGTCAGCTGCCCCACCTACCCTCACACCATGGAGCAGGTTCTTAATGTCATTATTTAACTGTATGGATGCAGCCAGAGAGAGGAGAAATGAGTTCACCTGCAAGGGGAGCTTGGTGAACCCCATTTCACTGCTCGTTGCAAATTTCTGGTGACTGCAGCTGTTACACCCAAGATGGTTAATTCCGTAGCAGACAAGTGGGAAGTGGCAGAAGTCCATGAGCTGAACCTCCATTAGGATACAGATTTTGCCAAATTAGCAGCTCAAGTGGCATCACTGTAACGTGCATGGGATTATAATGCTCTAACTGCTGAGCTGCTGCTGCAGCTGCGTCAGGTTTACACGGTAACAGGATCAGCCAGACACAAAAATCAACCACAGCAGCAATAGCTATCCAGTTTTTCAGTCTGAGCTGCCAAGGTGAAAAGAAAATGCTCATGGGAAACCTCAGGTATCCAGGCACTGTGTGATTTGTCAGCATGATAACCTGGGAGGTGGGTTGCTCCATCCAAATCTAACATGAGATTTTGGGTTTGTTTTTCTGATGGGGCACTTTTGGGAGTCACCCTCCTACATGCTGCTTTCCCTCTTCAACAGCCGTAGGGTAAACCTAACCTGCCACGTTACCAACACTAGTCTTTATCCTAGGAACAGGAGAGCAGGTGCTGCTCAGGGTATCACGAGTGTCCATTCAGGCCTGCCCATGTTCCTGAGTGCTGGTAGGATTTCTGGCAACACTGGCTGATGGAGGATGTCCTCTGGCTCCACTCTTTGTATTTCCCTGAAAAAGGAACCAGGCCAATCTAACCTGCCACCTGGCTGGGATATCAGGCAGTTTTCTGCATCCTTTGGATCCAAACAATGTACAAAGCTTCATGCACTCTCCTGGCTCTCACAGCAGGTTTTGAGGAGAGGTTTTTGCATTGTTATAATTTTCCTGTGTTATCTTTTAGGCAAGAACATATGAAAAGTCTCACTAGCCCAGTGCAATGATCCCTCCAGCCCAGCACCCTGTCCTCTGCAGTGACTACAGAAAATGGCATTTTGAGTTGACTTGTGGACAGGGATACCCACCTGCTTTCCATTCCCCTGGCATTCCCTAAGCACTACAGCTGTCATCTTGGGACACTGGAGGGCACATCCATAGGGAATCGAGCCTTTTAGAAGCAGCAACAACTTTTACAACTGGAACAAGATTTGTAGCCCTCCAGCCTGGCCCCTGTAAAGCATGTGTCACTTCACAGTGACTGCTTTGTGCTTTGATTGGAACCCATTCTTTCCAAAAAGCCTGGCTTTGAAGATTCCCATGGAGACCAGTGACATCTCCTGCTAAGTTCTTCCAAGGATTATGTATCTTCACCACTAGGATTTTTTATCATATTTTCAGTCTGAATTATTTTCCTACATGAGCTTCTGACTTCAGAAAGTCATTTCACTTTCCCTCACTGACCTGGGGCAGTGTCTGCCATCATAGACTTTCTGCATCTGAAGGCCCGGTTTTTTGCCCAAAACCTCCTCCATCAAACCCAGTAAATAGGTAGTGTTTACTTTGCAAAACACCTTTTTTGCCCAAGGTCAGGTCACTCTTGCAGCTTCTCTGTGCGTTTTCTCTACCTCTTCCTCCTCCTCCTCCTCTTGTCTTCTCGAACCTGATCTGCTTCTCACCATCAATGAGTACAGAAGCAAAGAGACCTCACGGTGCTCTGGTTACAAACATGACCTGTCCACTCCTTGGAGTTTCCATTCCACACCTCCACTTCTCTTGCAGGGCAGATTTAACTCCAGTGCAGCTACAAGGAAGCCAGAGCTGCCTGCAGGCATGGAGGAGAATCACAGATCTCCCAGAAAAATGCAGGGAGGTGCTCCCTCCTCTCATCGTATTGGATGACTACAGTGAAAATATAAGCAGATTTTTTTCTCATATTTAATAATCATCTGCTTTTTTTTCAAAAGCAAAGCATTGTCAGAAATTGTTTGCTTTACCAAAATTCCTTCTCTGTGGTGGATTATTTTGCCAAATAGGTTTTCAGAAATCCATTTTCACTACATTCATCAATATAAGCAATTTTCCTACATGAGCACTGGAGCTGTACACATGCTTTAAGCAGAATTTGATCCTAAATGTGTCAACAATTTTTATTTTCTCTGAAGAACAGCTTTCATTGGGCAAGAACTATCAAAAGCAGCCTTTTAAGCAGTTGAATAACACACCAATTAAGATATCAGTGATAAATGCCACAGACAATCTTGCAAAACTTGGGAGAAAACAGAATTTGCTGAACTGTAACCAATTTCACAATTTTGCAATTTGATGTTCTTCCCAGAGTTTCCTGAGTGCTGCCCTTCTGTTCCCTCTGGGCAGCACCTTCAACCATGCATGGTCATCGCCCTCAGAGCTGCTTTGCAACGCTGCAATCCAACACCATCACTGGAA